GGGAGGAATTAAGCTCCAGCTTCTAGAATGGGTAGTTTCTACATAACTTATTTAGAATTCCTTTGTAAGGAAGATTTGTCTCTTCTCTCTATTTATCCTGTTTTTTCTTTTCTTTTTATTTTTTTGAGAGAGAGAGTGCATGTGCACACAAGCAGGGGAGGGGAGGAGCAGAGGGAGAGGGAGAGAGAATCTTTTTTTTTTGATGTCGTGTTCCATGATTCATTGCATATAACACCCAGTGCTCCATGCGATACATGCCCTCCTTAATACCCATCACCAGGCTAACCCATCCCCCCACCCCCCCTCCCCTCTAAAACCCTCAGTTTGTTTCTCGGAGTCCATAGTAGGGAGAGAGAATCTTAAACAGGCTTCTTGCCCCCCGCACGGAATGGCATGGGGCTTGATCTCAGCGACCCTGAGATCATGACCTGAGCCAAAATCAAGAGTTGGACACTTAACCGACTGAGCCACCCAGATGCCCCTAGAGCATTTTCATTTGATTCTTTCTTCCTGCTCTCGGCTTTGGGGCTTTTCTTTTCTTTTTTTTTTTTTAATTAATATATGCTTTATTTTGTAGTCTTAATTATTTTTTTAAAGTAATCTCTACGCCCAACATGGGGCTCGAATTCACGACCCCAAGATCAAGAGTCGCATGCTCTACTAACTGAGCCAGCCAGGCACCACAGGCTTTTTTTTTGTAATTTACAGTTTAAGAATGGACTGCAATTACTTCACATGGCAGGATATTTAATGCCAGATGATTTTCGAGACTTGTGGTTGGACCCTCCTCTCAACCTTAACTGTATCAACTGTCAAGCCCGTAAGATTTATTATAAATATTACAAAAAGTTTGGTAACTCTGCTATATCCTTGAATTCAGGTGAAGGATAGATCAATTTCAGACCATTTTTTTAGGGCTCTGTAACAAGTCTCCCTCCGCCCCCCTAAAATCAAAATAACCCCTATCTCCTGAGATTTTTTTCTTGTTCTATATGGACAGCCTGGGCTGTCACACTGCTCAGAAATAAACTCATCTGATTTGTGGATCAGTTTTATTTCTTGTTCTTTCTCAATAAGCTAAGAAGCTCCAACATTTTTATGTTTTTCTTTGAGTGACTTAATTCATTGAAATAATTCCTGTCTCATTTGTATTAAGTATTCCCCATTAGAAAATTCTTTTGTAATTTATGTAGAAATACTTTTTTTTTTTTCCTTCAAGAAAGTAGTAGGGAAGGAGAAATGGGGGTTGCTGTTCAGTGGGTATAGAGTTTCAGTCATATAAGATGGAAAAGTTCTGGAGGCCTGCCGCACAACGATAGCATATCCTTGACAGTATTGCACTGTACACTCAAAATTTTGTCAAGAGCCTACATCTCATGTTATCTGTTGTTTTTCTTTTACCACAATTTTAAAAAAAGGGTTGAGTAGAAAGCAAGCTTATGCTTCAACTTATTGATTGTATATTTCACATTTTTATTTAAAAAAAAAAACGAGGTAGGATTTTTCAACTCCAGGTTAAGGTTTTTGTTTTTTTAAGATTTTATTTATTTGACAGAGAGA